CATCCTGACCCTAACAACGCTGCTCTTCCCTTGACAATACCCTGTACCCAGCCGTCCATCTCCTCTGTCCTTGCAGAGGGAAACTGAGTCAGCTCAGAGGATTGGGCAAAGGGGGTGATCTGGAGCAGAAGGGTTTGAGCCTGGAGGGTGCCGTCGCTGCAGCATGGGGCACCCCGGTTTTAGCACTTACCAATGGGACTTCTGCTCTCAGGCACTCTGGGCTGGGGCAGCAACGGGCACAAACTGAAACAGAGGAAGTTCCAGCTGAACATGAGGAAGAACTTCTTCCCTCTGAGGGTGACGGAGCCCTGGCACAGGCTGCCCAGGGAGGCGTGCGGTCATGGCCAGCCTGCTCTGGGGGACCCTGCTTGGGCAGGGGGTTGGGCTGGGTGACCCACAGAGGTCCCTTCCAACCCCTACCATTCTAATTCTGTGGTTCAAACATCCCCAAAAGTGATGCTGGGTGGCTCCAGGTGCAGGCTAGGAATATATCTGGCACGAAACCCTCCCCAGGAAGGAAAACCCATCATGTGCTCGGCTCCTGTTCGGCAGCAGGAGCACCTGAGCGTGCTGGGTCTCGGCTGGGCAGCCTGACGGTGACCTCTGTGCGGGCAGATGGCCAGGGGCGGTTGCCTCTGCAGCCCCCCGCGCTGAGCCCCGCTGCAGGGCTTTGGGCTCCAGCAGACCCCGGAGGGGTTTATCCCAGCGGGTGTTTGGGAATGGCAGGAGGTGTCTCGCCGTTCCTCCTTGAGACGGGGCAGCAGATTAGCCCGGAGCCCCTCTGCGCAGACAAAAGCTGCCACAAAGGGCATTAGGCTTCAGGATTGGATTACCGTGTGGCCACCTGTCATCCCCACTTTGTAAATTTATCTCGCTCTAGGTCCGTTTTTCATATTGGAGAAGCTGGCACTTAAAAAAATAAAAAAAAAATCCCCCCCCTCCAGTGCCTGTCCAAGCAGCAGCCTGGTGGAGTTGCTTTTAGCATCCCTTCTTATGCCAGGCTGCAGAGCTGCGTGGGGCTGGGGATTAGGGCTGTTTGAATGAAGGAAGCCTTTATTACATTAGTCTAAGTGGTTAATAGGTAAAGTAGGCCAATCCATCTTTAGACTAAGCCTATCACTTCGCCTACGAAGGGTGCAGGCTTCGCTGAGGAAATATTCATTAAAGGAAAAGCTTTTCCTCTGTCCCTCTTGACATGTTAATAGCTCGGGGTTAGGGGCTCTGCTCCCTGCCTGCGGAAAATTCATAGCTGTGCTCACGCAGCAGCGCTCTCCTCTCGCTGGGACCCCGACGCTGCCGGCAGCTCTGCCGAAGTCAGCAGAGCAGCCCTGAGCCCCACCAGAGCTTGGCTGCTTGGGCTCGGCGGGGAAGAAGGGATGCCAGGAGTCTGCTGGCGCTCCTCATCCTCGCTTTGCTCTGCGTGCTCAGAAAGCAGGTGCCTCGTCCCTCCCCAAGCAGGGATGTCGGGCGAGGGTTCAAATGATGGGTAGAGGCAGTGCTTCGGTGCTGGGACTCTCTGCTGTGGGATGTTCTCAAGGCCAGAAGTATTCATGGGTTGGAAAGGATGAGACAGTTCATAGACGCTCTGAAATGGGATGATTTGGATGCAGATGCTGGCTCCAGAGGTCTTTGAACTCCAGGTTGCCAGAAGGCAGGAGGATAGCAAGGCAGGAGGGACTGCTTGCCAAGCTTTTCATGCTATCTTGATTTCCCACTGCAGTATCCGCTACAGCCCTCAGCGGTGTCTCCATCCAGCCCCGTCCCGACTGGTGCAGCAGCTTTTGTCCGAGGGCTCAGCCGAGCTCCCGTTTCCCACAGCCTGACTCCCTTTGTCGTCTCCCTCTCCTCTCCCATACGGACAACGGTGGTAGCTGCACCGCTGCCGTTCTTCCCTTGCACCACGCAGCGCTGGCTGCCCAGGTCTCTAACGTGCCTGGGAAGCCTCCATGGAAACAGAGGACTCCACAGCTGTCACGAGCTGCCCCAGGGCTTTTTTTTTGCTGAACCCTGCTCCTTTTGCCCAAGGAGGCTGCATCCTGCTAAGGCATGGTGGCTACAGCTCTTCTGACCATCAGTGCTTCTCTCTCCTCTTCTTCTGCAACGGCTGTCATTTAGTGCAGCCCTTGCTGTCTTGGAGCCCCAGGAGCAGATGTGTTTGGAGCTGGAGTCTGGTCCTGTGTCCACCAACACGTACGTCCGGCGTGTTGTGTTGGAGCTGCAGTGCTATACATGGGCCAAGTTGCCCTTCTCCAGCTGTGGTTTGAATGGGAATAAACACTTCTTGGTGACTTTTCCACCTGCGTGAGTTCAGACCAGGCAGCTTCCCAGTTCCTCCTGTCCCTGAGGCTCTGTTGTCTCTGGCTGCCAGCAAGACAACCGGTGCCTCTATGGGAGATTATGGAAACCATGGGAAAGCTCATCACAGCAGACAGGCTCATGCAATAAAACTTTGCTTTCCTGGATGTGGTGCTGTCGGAGGTTCACATGGGCCACAATTTTTGGCTTCACTTGCTCCTGTCTGGCTTTTATGCAGCTGCTTTTCAAACATGGCAGCGTCTGAGACAGTCTCAGGGGTCTTAGTGTTGGGCTATGCCTGGCATCCATCTTGGTACGTGGAAGGAGGAGAGTGCTGGAGCTAGGGCTGAAGGCTGGGTTTGGTGGATTCAGTTCTTGTTCTTGGGTTGAAGGCTGCGTTTCTGTCTCTGCTCATCTTAGCCTGTGCTGACCGACCAGAGGGCAGTAGCAGTGTCCATGTTCCGTGTCTCACTTCTCTTGCTGTGATGGGTCACGAACAAGATGTTCTGCGAATGCCACGGATTCAGGTCCTCTCCATAAATGCCAGTTTTGGAGGGGTCTGGACCTGCACAGAACTGAGTGCTCTCAGCTCGATCGTAAACAAGACGTGTTGGATGTCCTCAGCCACAAATGAGGAGTGTGGGTTCAGGTGCTGGCTGGTCTGCAGAGGGACTGACACCGGCCCAGTGGATGCCTCTTAGACGTAGCGTTGCTCCTTGCTTTCTCCCACTGCTGTGGCGCGCTCCTCTGTGTTTGCTGGAACACTAATTACGAGCCGGTGTTTCCCAACCGGATCAATTGACTCAGCACCTCTGCCCCCAGCACTTTCCTCCCGTTTCGTGGCCCAGCCCTACCCAATGCCTCTCTTGTGCAAGGAGGAAAAAACAAGCCTTGCATCATTCCCGGGAGACTGATCAACACTGGCTGTAGCAGTCTTGGAGAAGTCGGCCTCGAGGTGCAGGGCTCTGTGCAGCAAGCAATGTGACGAACCCGACCCGCAGCCAAAGGGCTTCCGCGCAGCGCGGCCGTCCGGAGCACGGCTTGGGAAGCAGTCTCCTCTCTAGGCAGGTCGCAGGCCACCAAGGACTTCATGGGTTGAGACCAACCTCTTAAATCAACCTGGAAAGTGATTGGTGGCCAGCGCAGGATGTAGAACTTGAATTTAATGTGGCCATAAAAAGACACACCACTTAATGAGTAGATTGTCGAAATCCACATCAGCCCAAGACAGATTTAAGAGTTGCTCGCTGAGCGTTATTGACTGGCTCTGTTCTGCGACGCCGTTACGGGTTGGAGTAGTTGGCCAGCAAGGTGAAGGATTAGTCAGAGTTTTATTTGGGTTGCTGCTTTTTGGCACACGTTGACTGCTGACTTCCAGAAACTCTCGTGTCCCAGGTGTCTGGCAGACCAGCGTGATTTTTGTCTGCATGTGAAACTCCACTTGCATGGCCTTGAAATCGCAGCCCTGGGTGTTGCCACTGCCCTTGGGCATGGCTGGAAGTTTCCGCCAGCTGATACCCCCTTCCTCCGTAGTCTGCCTCGACCATTGCCGCCTCTCCCAGTGACCCGTGCAGATCTGGTACAGGGACCGTCCCCCACCATGGGTCTGTGGGGAGGGGGCTTTACGAGCAGCCCCCAGGCACACCTGACCCGTGGTGTAGAGCTGTAGTCACTGGGTTGCCCCTTGCCAGTAAACACATTGCATAAAGTTAATGACAGAAGCTGATGAAGTAAAATACCAGGTACAACGTGAGCAAAATAGCAGTTGCATAAAACAGCTACTGACCAACTTTCATGGGCACGTGACGGTTTGTGATTCAGTCTCCTGCCTGGTTTTCCTATTAGTTGGCCTCCGATCAGATGGGTCACGGTTTTTTCCCGTAGCTTCTTAATCGGGGCAGCCATTGGCTTTAGCACAAATTATCAGTGGCTTTTTCGACCGCAAGAGCCCACGGTGATCTTTGCTGTAGAAGCATAAAAGCAGCAAGGGAGGAGATGACCGCCGGGGTCCAAACAGCCTCTGCGTGCCGCGTCGTACATCTGAGGGAAACGCTGCTGGAGGCTGGCTGGTTATTCCTCTGTGCTGGGTGGATGCTCTGAAAACCTAATCAAGTTTTATAGCTTTAATTTTGTGGCAGACTCCCCTCTCTCCCCTCTTGCTTTTTTTTTTTTTAACTGTCTCACAACTCAGAGAAAATGAGTCCCATTGGGTTATAAAGGGAAAGAATTGGCAAATGGTCAGAAATATTTAGGCTTGCCCAGTGAATGACAGGAAAAAATTGCTCTTCCTGCTTCGAGCCGCTTCCATCGTTTCTGCAAGCTCCCTAATTTTTGCCCAGGTGGTCAATTAGAAATAGAGAGGGAATAAGGTGAAACTGCTGAAGTTTCCAGGGTGTTTTGTGAGGGTGTGTCCTACCCACGAGCTGAAGTTGCCTTCTCCATGGTCGTATCCTGACCTGCTGCAGACCATGTGGCCGTGGAGGGGGACGTATTGTCCTCACTGGGTGCTGGGCTGGGATGTGCTGAAGATGCCACCAGCAGCTCTTGATGCTCCTTCTGGCATGTGTTAGGGAACAAGTCTGCACAGCGACAGGGAGTAGTAAAGCAGTGGGTGAAGCTGGGTGCAAGAGGACCGCTGCAGTTGGGTGAGGTCCTGCACCAAACTGCACCCTCTCACCTGAACTGGGAAAGGCGTCGTGTGCGGGATGCTAAGGGAAGGCAACGTGGACGTGCTCTGGTGAGCTCCTGCTTTTCCGCTACACCGTTCCTCTCGTTACCCTGGGGAAAACGAGCTCTGGGCTGGGGCTGAGGGCTCTCTGGCATTGACCGGAGCCAGGAAAGCTGCCTGGTGCAGCTCCGTGTGAAATGCAGCTCAGGACTCCTGCCCGGTCGGGAGCCGGTGTGGTACGTGGAGCCACACTCCGGGTGCAGAGTGCAGCCCTGATAATCCACTCATGGATAACTGGGAGATTACTCAGCTGGGTTTCTAGTAGTGGCCTTTAACAATAATCCGCCCTGATCCCTAAATCAATGCAAAATGGGTTTATCTGTACAAGCTAAATGGCCTGTGTAGGCATTTTAGGGAGAAAAATTCTTGTTTATCCATGTGTGGGTATATACGTATGTATGTCCATGTTTTTATTTCTGTTACCTTCTGATCTGACCTGTGCGTGTTCTGTGGGCAGGGACCTCATGCCCAGGACGCTGGAGGGGCAGATCACCATGGAGAAGACCCCCAGCTACTTCGTCACCAAGGAGGCCCCAGCCCGCATCTCCTCCATGTCCAAGGGCACAAAGCTCATCGTGGTGGTGCGGGACCCCGTGACCAGAGCCATCTCGGACTACACCCAGACGCTCTCCAAGAAGCCCGATATCCCCACCTTTGAGAGCCTGACCTTCAAAAACAGGACTACGGGCCTGATCGACACCTCGTGGAGCGCCATCCAGATTGGCATCTACGCCAAGCACCTGGAGAACTGGCTCCTCTACTTCCCCATCGGGCAGATCCTCTTCGTCAGCGGGGAGAGGCTGATCAGCGACCCCGCGGGGGAGCTGGGCAGGGTCCAGGACTTTCTGGGCCTCAAGAGGATCATCACCGACAAACACTTCTACTTCAACAAAACCAAGGGGTTCCCGTGCCTGAAGAAGGCGGAAGGCAGCAGCAAACCCCACTGCCTGGGGAAGACGAAAGGCAGGACCCACCCGGACATAGACCAGGAGGTGGTGCAGAGACTGCGGGACTTCTACCGGCCCTTCAACATGAAGTTCTACCAGATGACGGGGCAGGACTTCGGCTGGGACTGAGGCTGGCGTGGGAACAGTCCCCTGTAGTTACTTGCCCAGCACGGTTTGCGTATATAAAGAGATATATATGTATGTAAAATGTACAGAAATCTATTTTATAATAATTTATTTTTAATTCCTAAGCAATTAATTCACTAAGCTGCCTAACCGCACTGGCTAGAACGGTAGCCTGTAACCTGTTTAACATTCCACGGTGTTTAATTCTAATATGTCCCTCCTTTTCTTGGTTTTGTTTTTTGCTCCTTCTATTCTATTCTCCTCTTATTGGTTTGGTTTGTAACAGACGGTGCTTCCATTTTTCCTAAAGAAAATTTGTATTTTAAAAAAGCCGGGCCCCCCCTGCGCCCCGCAGCAGCGTGCTGATCCGGCGGCTGTGGAGCGCGGGGAACCCCAGGCCACGCAGCTCCTGCTCCACAGCCAGGACCCCGCCGGGAGGGTGCCGCGCTCCTTTTCCAGCGGAGAAGCCGCAGAGCCTGTTGCATGGCAGAGCTGTCTCCCCGGTCCGCTTTTCCTTCTTGCCCTTTGCCAAGGAGGCTCTGTCCCACGATCCCGCTGTGCGTTTCAGATCTTCACTGCAGGACGAATGTGAAAATACGTGTGTCTGCGTGTGACGTGCTCGGTGCCGCTCCGAACGGCTCGCAACAGGCGTCGCTCCGGGAGCGCCCGTGCGCACCGGGCGCTGCGGGGAGCCGGCTGTGCCGCCCGGATGGGGAGCGGCAACCC